TGTTGTTCGTTCTTGATTTCTTTAGATTTTATCATGGTCTGGCAAAAACCAGAAAGCACAATGACGACAAGATGAAAGTTTTATAAAGCAAATTAATCGGCCAACGGGCCGAGTAAAAGCTAGCAACGATTGTGAGATGCTCATTTTCCGAAAACCGGCGAGATAGGCGATTTTTTATTCTATTTTTTGGAATTCGGTTTCTATAAAACTTACTCCACCTCATCATATTATCAGAAACAATATTGTTTCACAAGGTAACAGGTACTTGATTTTGGTTCATATGACTGGTTTTTGATTCGTTGCATCATTCATGTCTCTTTTCTGCTAAAATTCACTATTTTTATCACATATTTCCCAAAAAAAAAACTATACAAAAATAAGCTATACACCCTATTACATTTTCAAATTTCATACCTCACATTCCTCCCGCCAACTGGCCAGGGCCACGCTAGTTCTCATAATAGCACAGGAGACTTATTTCAGGAACATGTGCAATTCATATTTCAAAGTACAGTTGATGAACGTGAAACAAAGGAGGAATTCCAAAGCTAGAATTTCTTACTGAAATGGCAGATGCTGAAATATAATAAGAATAGGAGGTAACACTCTAGAGTATATACACGGAACATCTATACGTAACTCAATCCTCCCCTTCAAGGATCTAGCCCTCTCTTGATCTCTCTCCCCTCTTCAGTATGCTGCTTAATTAGCTGCAGAACCAATTGAGCCCTGTGGCATGAAATTAAACCAAAGAGGCTCCAAATTCCATTTCTCCTTGCAATTATTTTGCCTTTGCATTCCCTTCAGCCTAGTATGTATTAGTTCTCACTTGTTGTTATAGTAAGAAGTCATTTATAATAAATAAGTGATTATCGGTTTTGGAACCCGCTAAATGTTAGCAGACGTTGATGTACTAATGGTTGATGACTTTCCAAGGGTGGCAGCAGCTGCTGCTGAATTTCCAAACTCCAGAGTTGCTGACATCCTTAAACTTCAGGGGAGGGGCTGAGAGTGAGAGAGTCGCTTGAATGAATCTGTTAGAGAGACTTTGATTTTCATTTTCCTTTTTACAGGTCCAGAAAGAATAAGATGGAATCCCGCCCCTAGTAAAGTATGTGTCTTTTAGTGGATCTTGTTCCATAAAAACACATTAACCCTCCATCGTCGATTGTAGCACCGAACGAAATTTACCTGGCTCTATAGCCAGAACCCAGAAATGTATTCACTAAGATCTCTCACAACCACTTATTTAGGTGCTGAAGATGATTTCTATGCTGGAAGAAAACTTTTGTTAGATTTTGAGTTGCCTCCAATTTTGCAAAACAGAAAGTAAAGAAAGACCAAGTGCGAGAAACGTAAATCTATACTAAAGTAGGCGACTGAGGATGCAGGGGAGAGAGCCGTTGCACAGGCAAACCTCCCACTAGAGTTCCTTCGACCCTGCTAAAGACTCTGGTTACACGTAGTTGTAATTGAGAGAGTCCACAAGGATTTTTCCTCTTAATATATTCTCATATATATGGTGTCGCCGCCTCACGATGATGATCGTAGGATGTTACAGTGTACGTACGAGCTGCATGTGTTGAGCACGTACATGTTTGTCAGCATTACTTGTTTTAAGGACCTTTTAGTATTTTGTATAAACCCTAGTAGCATTATGTAAAAAGGGTTAGCACTTACATATATGGCTTGCTGTTGTGTAGCGGCTGATCAGTAGGTGTATAGGGCAATTATATGAACCCTAATAAAGCTATAGCCGAAAACCCCTTGAGAGGGTTTTCCGTGGATTAGTCTTGCTCACACCAAGCAAGGATACCACGTAAATCGCTGTGTTCTCGTATTGTTTTATTGAGTTTTATCATGGTATCAGAGCTGTGAGTAGATCCTCGCGGAGTTTCTTCCGAAGCTATGGTTTCCGATGATGAGCAGTCCTCGGCTACCGAGACCATGAAGAAGTATTCGGCGTCGGGCAGCGGCAACGATCTTCCCCCGGCGCTCATCCTTCATAACTCGGACAGCCCAAATCAACTGTTCGTCGGCGAATTACTTACCGATTCCAATTACGGTGAGTGGCTTGGTGATATCACCGACTCTTTTATTGCCAAAAATAAGATTGGCTTTGTTGATGGCTCTATTCCCCAGCCTACTGATGCTGTTCTTCGTACCCAGTGGAAGATTTGTGATGCTATGGTCAAGGGCTGGTTGAAGACAGCCATGACTAAGGAAATTCGGTCTAGTGTTCGTTTTGCGAATACAGCCCGTGAAATCTGGCTTGATCTTAAAGCTCGATTTGGGCAAGGTAGCGCCTCTCGCCTATACGAGTTGCGCGGTATGATTTCCATGTTGCAGCAAGAAAAAGCTAGCATGTCAAGTTTCTATACCAAATTGAGGGGCTTGTGGGATGAAATTCAGTCCATATCTCCCACACCCGACTGTAGCTGCGAGGGATGTCACTGTGACGTGAAGCGCAAGTATCGCGCCACCAAGAACAGTGAGCAGCTTTTTGACTTCTTGATGGGTCTCGACGATGCCTTCTCGACCATTAAGACTCAAATCCTGGCCATGCGCCCCATGCCAACTCTTGCTGAGGCGTATCATCTTGTGAGTAATGACGAACAACAACGAAAAATTGCACAAGCTCGGCGCCCAACTGTTGAAGTAGCGGCTTTTCACGCTCATGATGCGCAGTCCCCGAGCCGAGGCTCTTCTGATCGCCTCGCTGACCCTGGTCGCGCTAATGACAAGCCTCGCTTCTTTTGCGATCACTGCAAGAAAGGCGGCCATACCAAGGACTGCTGTTACGAGCTCGTTGGCTATCCGGAGCGGGGCTCCACTCGTGGAGATCGTGGCAGCTCGAAAGGGGGTGTTCGTCGAAAGGGTCCCTCTCCTCGGGCAGCTCAGGTTGATGCCCGTGATAGTCCGATTCCGGGCTTAAGTGCTTCCCAATTTGACCAACTCAAGACTTTATTTGGTGGCGAGTTGAAGGCCTCGTCGCACCCAGCTACTAAGGCGACATGTAACTTTCTTCATCCTTCTATGTCGCGTGGTGACTGGTTAATTGATACGGGCTGTAACGAACACATTATCAACGATCCGATGATGATACGTGAGCCACAGGTTGACCCCGGTTTACAGGTTCGGGTCCCTGATGGTTCGACAGTAGCAGTAAATAGTATTGGTGCAGTTAAATTGTCTAATGGGATGGTTTTACCACGAGTACTGTTGGTTCCGGAATTTAAGTGCAACCTCTTGTCTGTTAGTCAGCTTACTCGGGATTTTTCCCTCGCCTTGATCTTTCTCCGGGACTTCTGTGTTATACAGGACTTGTACTCGAAGATGATTATTGGGACGGGGACGCAAGCTGATGGGTTATACTATTTGAGACTCTTTGATGGGATTCGTCAAGAAATGGCGCATGCAGTACGTGGATATGTCTCTGCGGACCTCTGGCATTCCCGTTTAGGCCACCCATCGGCTGAGAAGTTGATAATGATGTAAGTGCACATATTTGCGCCCCTAGTTCTTATCCGTTTGAGGGGCATAGTCGTGTATTTTTGGCCTATTTTACGCCGGGTTGTGCTATTTTGTCATATTTCAGGTCCCAGGCGTCAAAGGAAAGGCTAAGCACGAGTTTCGGGTCATTCAGAAGTCATTCGGTGAAGCTGGAGCCAAAACACGTTAACCCTCCATCGTCGATTGTAGCACCGAACGAAATTTACCTGGCTCTATATATAGCCAGAACCCAGAAATGTATTCACTAAGCTCTCTCACAACCACTTATTTAGGTGCTGAAGATGATTTCTATGCTGGAAGAAAACTTTTGTTAGATTTTGAGTTGCCTCCAATTTTGCAAAACAGAAAGTAAAGAAAGACCAAGTGCAAGAAACGTAAATCTATACTAAAGTAGGCGAGTGAGGATGCAGGGGAGAGAGGCGTTGCACAGGCAAACCTCCCACTAGAGTTCCTTCGACCCTGCTAAAGACTCTGGTTACACGTAGTCGTAATTGAGAGAATCCACATGGATTTTTCCTCTTAATATATTCTCATATATATGGTGCCGCCGCCTCACGATGATGATCGTAGGTCTAAACTGGACGAGGCACGTGGGAAATATGACAAAGAATTGCATATAGGCACGTGTATTTCATTCGAGTCATATGCATCTTTATACAATAAGTATACCAAGATGAACTCAAGGAAACACGCTTACCTGCAACCAAAAATCAACAATTGATTCTGGCTACATATGCTCTGCTTGATTCTTGTTGGGTTTGTTCATGCTTTAGCTCGTGGTGTCCGGCCCTGCGAACCAACATGAAACATGGACCTTATAGACTTCTCCTTTGAGATAGTCGTGCTCGTGCAATTCTATCGTTGATGATCGATTGTGAATGATTGTCATTTTCAGTCTCATCCATCAACAAAGTTGGATAGGACTTAGGAGGATATAATATTTGAAGATATACTCCTCATCCATGTTGCTATTAGTTTAGGATAACTTCTTGACGACTTCTTGCCTAAATAGTCACTTCCTGACGGATACCACAATGTCATTTCACGCTTTATAATTAAAGGATCAAAACATTTTTAAACAATTCGAGTTATTGGAACCAACTCGTTATCCACACTAATTTGCAACTAAAGTATCGGAACTAAGATGGTGAAAATGTTCTAAATTGAACTATGAGCTCCCCCGTTTCTCTCCACCTCCCGCCGATCTCTTCTTAGTTGGACCAGCTCGGCCGTCCGGTTTGGAATGATTTGGCATCGCCGGCAAAAGTTAAAATGGTATAAGTCAGAAAGAGTTTCCTGCACCGGTAACTCTTTGGAAACGGGATCAAACGTATGCCGAAAACGACAACATCTCCCGTCACATAATAAGAAGCAAAAGCAGCACCGGCTTCAATTAATCTTCTACTCTTGATCAGATCAACCACTATAAAAAGGAATGGCATTGAATTGATAGCTCTAATTAATAAGTAAGAGAATCAGATTTTGCTATGGTTATCAACAAAGCATTGCTATCGACGACAGTATTGGCGACCACAATGATCATTGTGGCACGTCCGACGGTCCAGGCAACAGTTTACATTACCAATCACTTAACGAAAAAAATATTGATTGTGCATTGTCGATCCAAAGACGACGACCTCGGAGTCCATGCGGTAGCCGTTGGGGCAACCATCCACTGGAGCTTCGGGCAGAATTTATTTGGCGGAACACTTTTCTGGTGCAAACTCGCGGTCGAAGATAAGCGTATTATCTTCGTGGCGTACGACCAAGGCGTCGACGATGTCAAGGGAGACTGGTATGTTCGTGACGAAGGAGTTTACGGGATTCATAATCTGACCTTTCTGCGGGCTGCATGGACGCGACCATAAGCGCACGGATTTGTATCCAGAGGTCTTGCAATGGAGTGATATATAAGATGGGGTTTTAGCTTTTATTTTGTAACAATTTGGGTTATCGAAACCAATAAAGTCATGTTATAGTATCAGTAGTCTTATTTATTGAGAAATGTTTTTGTTTCTTTGCCTACTAAAGCCTTCATGCTATATAAGGAACACAATTCTGCCACCACTGTGGGTAGTTGACCCAATCAACGAGAGAAATCCCGACATTGACCGGATACGTACTAAAAAAACCCGCATATAAAATGATGGTCATGGGTCAAGATTACTGAAATTACGTGTCCCCGCTTCGTCACTTTATCCACCCCGATTCGATTCCTATACTACATACAATGCAAAACATATCCTCTCACTACAAGAAAACATGTGTTTAGTGTCGTTACATTGTGTCTGTTTATTTAACGGACAGGAACTTGTAATTTTGCATCCGTTTTGTGTTGAGTAAGTGAACGACTCTAATTTAAATGATTTTGCGTCGGTTTAATTGGAACCGATTCAATTTCCATGATTTTGTGTTAGTTTGGATCAAATATTTGTTATTCTGTGTCGGGTTAATATCTTTTTTTTCTGACATGAAATTTTCCCATTTTTTAACATCCGAATCAATCTTTTTAATATATATATATATATATATATATATATATATATAACATGGTGGACAAAACTAATCCTAAACTTTACTTAATTGACCGAACCCAAGTATTGACCGTTATATTTGACGGACAAAAATGTTGACTAACGATCAACCCGTCATGTTAACGTCCGATCAGTATAATTTCACTTAAAATATTCATCTTTTTCACAAAATACTGTGCCCTTTGCTTCTTCTGTTTCTTTCTATTTGCTAGTCAACAAGTTCCTTCCGGACCCAACTCCTCCACTTCCACCTCCTTCACATACTTCCACATCCATCTCAAATTATCTCATTTAAAATATTGTATTTACATATTCACTAACTTACGTAATTATTCTACATATTTACACTAATTTAGTATTGAAGTTAACTATTACCTAGTTTACTTAATTACTATACATATTTTTATACTTAAAATTAATTATCGACTAATCATAGTACATAATTTACACTTTTACACAAATGGTATATGATTCGTAATTGGATATCTCCAAACAACTCGAGTTATTGGTCCAACCCAAATTTCTACCTAGTATTATAGATTAATAAAGAATTTTCTATCATTTAACTTCGCAAAACCGAAAGATTTAATCGTAGACCTGAAAGATAGCCTAAAATGTGGATTATTCAATACTCATTCCACCTTTCTAACTCAAGGATGGAACAAAGAGGATACAATATTCTAAGATGAACCATGAGCTCCCCCGTTTCTTTCCACCAATATCCCGTCGATCTTCTCGGTTGGACCAGCCCGGCAGTCCTTGGAATGATTTGGCATCGCCGGCACAAATTAAAAATGGTAAACGCCGGAAAAGAGTTTAATTTCCTGAACGGCTGCACCGGTAACTCTTGGAAAACGGCATCAACGTGAAAGCGACAACATCTCCCGTCACAGAATAACAAGCAAAACCAGCACCGCCCTTTCGAATGCTTCAATTAGTCTTCTACTCGTCACAGAATAAAAAGTGAAATTGTTAAGAAATTTTTTTCCGGTGCAACCTTCGATACGATTTTTTCTAACTCTTGGAAAATACGCACTCAGATAAGAAAATCAGATTGCAATGGCTATCAACAAAGCTTTGCGAGTTGCGGTAGCATTGGCCACCATAATGATCATTATGGCACGTCCTTCGGTCCAGGTATTGGTTTACATTACCAATCGCTTAACCGAAAAAATATTGATTGTGCATTGTCGATCCAGAGACGACGACCTCGGAGCCCATGCTGTCGCCGTCGGGGCAACCTTCCACTGGAGCTTCAATGATAATTTCTTTGGCAAGACACTTTTCTGGTGCAAACTCGCGGTTGAAGATAAGCGTATTTCTTTCGTGGCGTACGAGGCACACGTCGAAACTTTCGGGCAATGGGTTGTTCGTGATGATGGAGTTCATGGGACGCCCTTTCGTCGTCCGACCTTTTTGAAGGCTGGATGGAGGCGACCATAAATATATAATTCATGGATTTGTCGTCAGCATAGTGCCTTTTATCAGGTGGTATTGTATTCAAAGATATTGTAATTGAATGATATAGATGTTTATCAAACTGAAATAGTAATGACGTTGAACACTGACACCAGATTTACGTGGTATCCCGGGAGTGATCCAGAATTAATCCACACAAGAGTTCTGAACACTCTTCTACCTACTGATCGTATTAAATTGTATGTCCACTTACCGCCACCATCTCTACAATATATACCTCGCACAGAAGGAAGAAGAAGAAACCCTAGGGTTACCCACTACTCACGTCCAGGCACCCATGCATAGGTCTAATAGGCTCACGTACATGGATCGTCTATCTAATGGGCCTCGTACTAATACGTAACTATGTATAAAAAATATACAGCCCACAAATACAGACCCCGCTAACAGCCTCCCCCAAATTGATGTTGTCCACAAAGCATCAATTTGCTCGAGAGGTACCAATGTCGACTTGGAGAGAAAGCCTTCGTGAAAATATCGGCAACCTGATCTTCTGTGCGGACATAATGAATAGTAATAGTACCATCCCCAACCAGATCCCAGATGTAGTGGACATGGATCTCGATGTGTTTGGTGCGATCACGAAGAAGCGGATTGACAGCAATCCTAATAGCGCTCATATTATCCACAAAGAGATCCATAGGTAGAGTACAATGGATGCCCATATCACGGAGAAGACGACGTAACCAAACAAGTTCAGAAGCCACATCAGACATAGCGCGATATTCAGCTTCAGTAGAGGATTTGGAAACCTTATCCTGCTTCTTACAACGCCAGGATATAAAAGCTGAACCAAACTGAACTGCCCAACCAGTAGTAGAGCGGCGAGTATCAACGCACCGAGCAAAATCAAAATCAGAATAAGCTCGGAGGGTAAAATCGCGAGAAGAAGGAAAGAACATACTAACATCGCGAGTGCCCTGAAGATACCAGAGAATGCGATGAACAGCAGCCAAATGATCAGTGCAGGGAGATGACATGAACTGACTAACTACCTGAACAAGATAAGAAAGGTCTGGACGAGTAGCCGCGAGATAAATCAAACTCCCGACGATACTCCGATAATTAGCCGCATCCGGAAGGGAAGAACCAAATGTGCAACTGAGCCGAAGATTGGGTTCCGTGGAGACAGGCTTGCAATCATGGAACTGATGATCGGATAGTAAGTCAGAAATGTACTTACGTTGACTAAGAAGAATGCCTTTTATCAGGTGGTATTGTATTCACAGATCTTGTAATGGAATGATATAGATGCATTTTTAGTTTTTTCTTACCGATTTAAGTTATTGAGATCAATAAATTTATAACGTAGATTCGAAGTCTAATTGTTGAGATTTTTTTGGAGAAAAAAGTGTGACGTTTTCCTACCTATGTACTTTGCCCATATATGTAACTAAAGCCTTCATATAAGTAAAATCCCTACGTACACTACAAGAAAACAGTAATGTATCGTCGGGTTTTTCCTGCTTTACCATCGGTTTTATATGCCAACGGTCAGATAACTCACATATTCCTTAGCAACTCTGTCTTGTCCCCTTTCTCTTTCTAGTTTTCAAACTCTCAGCCTTCTCTCTTCAACTTTTTCAACATTCTCCATTTGGGTGCGTCTTCTTCCTTGTTTTTTTTTTTTTGCTTTATCTGTAACTTTGTCATTGATTTATAATGAACTAATGCTTCTGTAATATATATATATATATATATATATCACTACAAGAAAACAGCTTTCTGGTCACGGGATCTTATTCACAGGATTTTTTCCCATACTAAAATGTGTACTAATGATCACAGGAAAATATCCCGTAATGAACTATGTAGCTCTAATCACCGGAATAAGTTTCCATGTTTTTCGCTTTTCATTTCCCGTGATTAATTGTTAATCACGGTTAATTACTGTGAACAATGTGCAAATTTATCTTTGTAAATTTTAGGTGAAAATCAAGAAAGATTACAAGAAAAATGGATTTCATATCACAAAGTAATAAAATTTTGCTTCCTCATTATTTTAAAAAGGAGTTTTATCAATGCAATTTTTCTTCTTTTAAATGAGACAATTCAGGAATTGAGATTCCAAAAATTTACGCAGCTGGTCTCAAAGTTCACGATTATTGTTGAATTAATAAATTGGGATGCCTATGATTTTGCCTAAAAATTACAACATATCAATTTAGTTGTCCCGCATTTTTTGCCCGCCACACAATCCTGAAATTTTGGTTTCCCGCAATCTGAAAATTTGGCTCCAGAAAATGGCTCCACAATCTAAAAATTTTGGCTCGCCCTCTATTTGTTTTACCAAGAAAAATTAAAGCTGCACGCATAGAAACTAGAAAGTATAGCCAACCTCACCAATTCCCAATAGACCTTGCCACGATCTCCCTCCTCTTCTGATAGCCGGAGCGCCTTTCTCAACCCCCTTCCCTGCCTTCCTCAATCGCCTTGTCGCCACCACTCATTTTTCCTTTTTTGCCTTGCTCTCTGCTGCTCAACCCAGCCACACACGCACAAAAACCCTCCCATATCTTTTCCGAATTCCCATCACATCCTCCTCGCACAATCGAAAGCCATCGCCTCAAAGCCACGGCCACCTTGTCCACTTCCACTCTCAGACCCTTCTTATCGATGGGTCTCAACTCTCAAGGTTAGACTTTCATGCCTCTATTCCTCTTGCTCTTTGTGGATATTGTGATGGTTTGGTACCACTTTCATTCTTTAACTAATCAAATTGCAGATTTACAGTTCTTTTAGCCTTTAAGATCTCGATTAAGCGCTAAGCGGTGGAATAGGGCTTTATCAGTCCTTTTCTTAATAAAAATGCCACCGTCGCCGCTTTTGGTATCTCTCTTCCTCCTAGTGAATGATATTTGGCCTAGGTTAGATCTGCAGTCCCAAAGACACAACTCAGGAAGCAGAAAGCTTCCTCCCTCAACTGCTCTAGGGGAGAGACGAAAAACTTTTATATACGCTAATCCTTCCTTCAACTCTTTCAATATTTATTATGGAGCTTATTAATCATTCCCGATTTTTGTTTCTTTTCTCAATTTTCCGAGCCCTATTTTTTCCCTTCTGTTGTTGTTGGCGGCTCTGGAGATGCTAGAATTTGGCCATGGCCTGGAAAAGCTTGCCGCTAGGCCACCTTCGTTGCTCTGAATCTTGGCTCTGTAAGTCCTCTACCTCTCACAAGCTTTTGATTTTGTTGGCATTTTATGGAGGGCAAAACTGTGTGTGGCGGACTTACCTATGTATGGGTTTGATTTTGGTTTGGCTGTTTTTGCCAATTATGTACTATGCTAGCTCTAAGAGTTCGAGTAGTAGAAGGTTGTGTTGTAGTGTTCGGATATCTAGATTCCAACTTGGATGGCAACTTCTGTTGTGGCGCTTCAGTTGGGATGGAAGAATGATGGGTTTAATGCCTTTGTTCGGATATCTAAATTCCAACTTGGATGGCAACTTATGAGAAAGATGTTTAGGTCAAGACTAGCCATCTTTTGTCTAATTGACCTTTGTGAATGTGGTGAATTGGCTTTTCTTATGACTCGCAGATTGAACAGATCAAGTGGCCTCTTTTAATTCCGACGTCTGGAACCTGTACAAAGATTTATGGGTTTATATTCTTTTGATTATTGGTTCTTTTCCTTGTTTGTTGGATCCATGTGAAATTGAATTTCCTTCCTTCACATCATTGTTTGCCTATTGTTGCTCACGTTCTACAGGTCTGTGAGCTGTTAACTGTATGTAGAACTGTGTATTAGTTAGAAATGTCTGATCTTCTGCCTCCACACCCCTTTTCTGTCTCCCTTACTCTTTCTAACCTGAGTGTTAATTGTATGTAGGATTGTGTTCATCTTCATACTGCCATGATTGGTGTGTTTTACCCAAAACTAGGGGGCCTTTTCACTCATTGGTTGTCATCTATGCTCTAACTTAAAGAATTGCAGGATACGCTGCTGGTAAGTAGGCTGAACTCATCATAATTTTTGAGTGAATGGTACACCGAATTTGAAGAGAACTTAGCTGGTATAATTATCCTTTATATAGTCAGAATCATGTAATTTTTGGTGGGGGAAGTTTCAAATGGGCTTAGGCTGCTCTGGTTGTATTTCCCCATGGAAGTTGTAACGCAAGGAAATGATAGCCAGCCGGTACTTCATATAAAAAAGCCAGCCAGCCAGCATTAGGTTAGATCGTTAGCAACTAACTAGGACTAGTGACTCAATAGAAATCTAATTATTTTTGAGGAGTTATTTGCATTTGTCTAGTGCTCTTTATGCCACTTAATTAGTCGATTGGTGTATGTATTGTTTATGCCACTTAATTAGTCGATAGGTGTACTTATTGCTACTCTGTGCCAATGACTTCTTTTGCAGTTCTCCATGATGCCTTTTTGAAGTTCCAAACAAAGCCAAAAGTAACAAGTCACAGTGACTTATTCTGCGAAGGGAAGGAATTCAAGGTACAAATTCTGCATTTCCTGGGTTATCATGTTCATTACTGCTTCAGCCGCAGTTCTTCATATTTTTGCTCTTTATTTCTCCAAATTCAGCCCCAAATGCACCAATCCCTCCATAAGCTAGCTATAGTTATTATCCTGCTGGTAGGGCCAAACCTCCAGTTGGGGAAGATCCCACGGTGTGTTTGATGCTAGTAGAATTGTAATATACAAACTAGATTGCTTGAATTGGTGATTTGGAATTAGTTGGCCTTTTGAGCTTAAGTTTTTTCCCCCTAGAAGTTTAAGGATATGTTCCATGTGTTTGATTTTGTTTTCTGGTGCTTTATCCTTGAGCATTACTTTGCAATTAAGCCTCTCTTTGTTAATGAGTTATTCAATTATGTTCTTTATAGCATGTTACAATGTATTCGTGCTAAAATTTCTTTTTGTCGTGTGCTGCAAGTTCTTACAAAAGCAGCTTATGGGAAACTGAATAGCAAATGACTTGTTTCATGTAGAAAAATGAAGTAATCTTTCAAAGACAAAGCACACTACTGGGTTGCATAGTGTGGAACTTGCTCAAAGTACGTTCTCCTTTCTTCTATAGCTTTTGTGCTTCTTTGATTGGTTGGTTCCAATTGATTTGTGCTTCTTTGATAATGTCCCTCTATTTCCATGGCAAAAAACCTTCTACCATGATCAGTGACTCTCCCATGCTCCCATGATGAGTAACCTCTTTACCCTGATCTCGCTAGCTCCTTATCGTTCTATCTATGCTTTTGTATTGCACCTGTTAATAGATGATTATGTGTTTGATTTTTGGCAGAGAAGATGAAGTAGCTTATAAGGGCAATTGACATGTCATTGAACAAAGAGGAAGAAGAATTTGAAAGTGGATGAGTAGAGAAGATATATAGTTGTGTACAAAGATTAATACTTGGTTAGTGATGGGTTTACTTTTTCCGGGTTAACCGAATTCCTATAAAAGTTTGAAAGGACATAATTTGTAATGACCTTTTGACTTTTGTTTTGGATATTAAGGTACCTGATTTGTAATTACTTTTGATTGAGGCTATTAAGGTACATCATTTGACAAGTTCTTTATTGTCATTTCATTAGTTAGACTCTCAATACGTCAAGTTCCAACATGGAGAAATGACAAGAAAAAAACTAGGTGTAATTAATTAGGGAAATTCTTTAGTAGTTAATGTAAAATACCGTGACCAAATTTCAGTATCTAGGTACGGGAGAATCAACCAAATACCGTGACTGATGATTGACATCTAGTCACGGGAAACTATTTTGTCACGGTAGATACAGTTTTAAAAGGCATGCATCCCATCTCTAAACAAAAAAAATTCGATTTTGTGTGGCAAGATTTTATAATAGTCACAGGGCTCACCGTGATTAATAGGTACAAATTATTACGGGAAATGATACCATGACTAGATATAACTAGTCACGGTACAAATATACCGTGATCTTTACAATTAGACACGGAGGTATATATTACGGTAATTTTACCGTGCCTAATACTATCAAACACGGGAAACACACTTTCAAACACAGGATTCCCCGTGATTAAATGACCTTTTTCCTGTAGTGTATATATATATGCCAACGGTCAACCAAAACCGTCAATGAAACTGGCGACACTAAGATTTTTGTGGCGGTTTTGGCAACCTGTGGGAACGTCCGACAGGAAAATTTAGTGTCGGATAAACACCGACGGTTAAAAACCTCATCCGCCGGGACAAGCTATGGTGCTAATCCTATAGGGGGTTAGCACCGTCCTAATAGTCGTGGTAGTGTTTTTGCATGGAAGTTTTTTGTAGTCTTTTTTTATTGATCGCTTGTGTTGTTAATATGTAGGGTCTGTAATAGTTTGATGTGCAGTAATGGTCGTGTTTCTGGTCATAGTTGTCTTGGGACTATGTAGTTTCGTCAATATTGAGGTGCAATATATTGGTAGTAGTGGTTAATAATACGTGTGTAGTGTTTGTATGAATACGTGTGTAGCGTTTTTGAGGTTAGCAGGTGCTAACGGGGTATGGGGTTAGCATCCCATCCCACCCGCCAGCAAACTCGTAAGCTGGGTCGCCATATTAATCGACAATAAAAGAAGCAGCCACGAGATGTTTAATCTTTAGTAACCAATAGGAATTAGGAACCGACCTTTTCCAACAAAACTGCTGCAGGTAAACTTCGAAAATTTCCACTATTACTTAGCTATCTATCATACTATAATCCTCGATCAAACACTTATATACTAATAATTCCCAATCACAATTCATTCATAAAAAAAAAAACAACTTCTACTCAAACTCATGAACTCTTAACAACATTCATCTTATAAACCCAAAGTAAAGCTCGGGTCACAATACATTGCACAAATCAGAGTTCAAGTTGCACCAAGTAGAAAAAAATCAAAGTAAAATAGAGTTCGTTTTACTCCTCGAACTAATTTGACGTATTTGTTTGGTTTCTTCAGCTGTTGCCAGTGTTGATTCCTTGCCCAAAAATTTGCCATCGATGAAGCCTGAGCGCCCCCGTTTCTCTCCACCTCTCTCTCTGATCTCTTCTGAGTTGGACCGGCCCGGCCGTCCGATTTGGAATGAGTTGGCATCGCCGGCAAAATTTAAAAAGGTAAGAGTAAGAAAGAGTTTCCTGCATGCACCGGTAACTCTTGGAAAACGGCATCAATTGCATATGCCGAAAACGACAACATCTCCCGTCACAGCATATGAAGCAAAAGCAGCACCGGCCGGCCTTTCGAATGCTTCAATTGATCTTCTACTCTTCATCACATCAAGTACTATAAAACAGGAATTGGCATTGATCGATAACGAAAAATTCACACTCAGACAGTTATGGTTATCAACAAAGCATTGCTAACGGCGGTAGCACTGTCGACCACAGTGATCATTATGGCACTTCCTACGGTCCAGGTATCGGTTTACATTACCAATCAAGTGACCAGAAAAATATTGATTGTGCATTGTCGATCCAAAGACGATGATCTCGGAGCCCATGCGGTAGCCGTTGGGTCTAGCATCCACTGGAGCTTCGGGCCGAACATCTTTGGCGCCAGGACAGTTTTTTGGTGCAAACTCGCGGTTCAGGATAAGCGTATTTCTTTCGTGGCGTACGAGCAAGAACGCGTAACATACGGAGACTGGGTTGTTCGTGACGACGGAGTTTATGCGAGGCCCTATGGTCATCCGATGTTTCTGCATGCTCCATGGACGCAACCATAATATAAGCCGCATGGATTTCTCGTCAGGAGAGTGCCTCTACAAGGTGGCAATATTGTATCCACAAGGTTTTGTAGTGGTATGATATAATATATGCAATTTTAGCTTTAATTTTGTAACGGTTTGAGTTTCCGAGACCAATTAATTCATGATATAGTATCGAAGTCGTATTTACTGAGAAATGTTTTGTTCAAATGCTCTTTCGTAAATGAACCCTAAAGCCATATGCCCAAATGGCCTAATTGTTAGACTGTTGGGTTTGGGGTCTCGGTTTGGTCTTGATTGGCCCACTTGTGTATCATGTATATGTTAGCTATAATGAGCCCATGCAAGCCCATGCAATCTCGTGTATTCAACAGACGCTAGGGTTTGCTAGGGCTAGAGTAGTATATATACTCATGTGTAACCGAGTGTGAAAGTTAAGCTGAATAAGAGACTCCTCTTCCCGTGGACTAGTCGGTATTGCACACTGCAGTACCGGAAACCACGTAAATCTGTTTGTGTTCGTTCTCAGCTTCCAGGTTTTCTAACATGGTATCAGAGCCTTCGACGATGGATTCCGAGAAGCTGTCTCTACGTCTCAATCACAAGAACTACGCCCTGTGAGAATTCCAATTCCGCGTTTACGTTGAAGGACAAGGTGTGCTGGGAATTCTCAATGGTTCTAAGCAGAAGCTGGTCGCGCCGGCTACGGAAGAAGAAATCTCCCGCTGGGAGCAACAAGACGCCAGGATTCGGTCCTGGATACTAGGCACGGTCGATCTCTCGATCGCTCTGGGCCTCCGCTTGCATACGACTGCCTTTGGTATGTGGACGCATCTGGCCACTACCTACTCATCGGTGAACCCAGCCCGCCAGTTCGAGATCGAGTTTGCTCTCGGTCGCTTGGAGCAAGGCAATAAGGATGTCACTGCCTATTTTAGTGATGCTCAAGAACTTTGGATCGAGCAAGATCTCCTCACGGCATCCCTTCGATCCAAAGAAGCATCGGCTGAAGTCCTTGAGGATCGTCAACGTTCTCGCCTCTGTCAATTTCTCATGAAATTACGGCCGGAATTTGAGACAATTCGCTCAACACTGCTCAATCGAGAGGACTTGAAATTCGATGGTGTCCTCGGCCTCCTGGTTTGCGAGGAGACGCGATTGCGTACCCAAGCCCAACTCGATGTTCGCCCCGGCGAGGGCGAAACCATATTTGCCGCCACTGATCCCTCCCAGTCTCTTGTCGCAGCCGTGCAAAAGCCTCAGTTCCAGCGTCGCGTTTCCACCGCTGAGACCCACTCCAACGTTGAGTGTCATCATTGCCATGAGAAGGGCAATCTGCAAAAACATTGCCGCCGTAAGAATTTTTGGGTTTATTGTAAACGCACTGGTCACATTGTTCTTGATTGTAGGTCGGCCCAACGATCCGCTGCTCGGGCTGCTGCCGCCGGCTATTCTGCCGATCGCCCGGTGAACGCAGCCCTTCAAAGGCCCCTGCCGGGGGCGATCAGTAGCGCCTTTGCCGCGCTTCAAGCATCAGGTAACAATCGACTTGGCTTTTGGACTCAGGTTGTTTTAACTATATGACAAAGGATTCATGTCAATTGAATGCCAAGGCCCCTGTTTCTCATATGATGTTACGTGTAGCTAATGGCCAACCTTTACATGTACGTGCAATTGGTCAGGTTCACACGCCTAAAATAGATTTGCCCAACACGTTCCATGTCCCTAATCTTGTTCCAAATTTGGTTTCTGTTGGGCAACTTACCGAGCAAGGTTGCTCCGTTTTGTTTGGACCTACTGGTTGTGTTATACAGGACCTGAAGACGGGGAGGCAGATCGGGCGAGGGAGTAAACAGGGCCGGGTTTTTCACCTAGAAGAGCTCTCGAGTCGATCGGGAGTCACGCCACCAGATAGTGTCCCCACCGTCAGTAGTCCGTCTCTTAGGATTGTCAATAGTCCGACATCCTTGGTGTCTAGTGTTTCAAATTCTGTGAGTCGATCTAAAACTGCATGGGAACTGTGGCATGCACGCTTAGGTCATCCGAATTCCACTCGTCTTATGTCTATGTTTAAACAGCAACTTCTCGGTCCAAATAAAGGTGGCATTTCTTCTACTCATATGTGCACAAGTTGTATCGATGCTAAACTCAAGAGCATTTCTTTTCCTCCTAGTAAAACTGTGATTTCCGAACCTTTTCACATTGTCCACACCGATCTTTTGGGGGCCTTCCCCAACTGTTTCCCGTCATGGTTTTCGTTACTTTGCTTTATTCGTAGATCATGCCACTCGTTTTACCTGGGTCTACTTTCTTCGCCTTAAATCTGACATGCTCTCTATTGCATCGGAATTCTTAAACATGATTCGTACCCAATTTGGCCGTCCTGTCAAAATTGTTAGGTCTGATCCCGTTGGCGAGTTTAGTGCTCATCCCTTACGTGATCTATATCGCTCCCTTGGTACGTTATGTCAAAAATCGTGCCCTGGTGTGTCTCAACAAAATGGGATGGTTGAACGTAAAAACAGGCACGTGGTTGAGCTTACACGAGCTTTGGTCCTTGACTCCCACGTTCCGCCTATGTTTTGGCCTGAGGCTGTGGCCACGGCGGTTCGCCTTATTAATTTCCAAATCACTCCCATTCTCGATGATCGTAGCCCTTACTTCTCCTTGTTTTCGAAACATCCTGCTTACGATCGTCTTCGTGTTTTTGGTTGCACTTGTTTTGTTCTCACTTCTAAGAAAGAACGTAACAAGTTGTCCTCCAAAGCAGCTCGGTGTATGTTTTTAGGGTACAGTGATGTTCATAAAGGGTACCTTTGCTATGATCCAGTTTTGTCTCGTATCATTATCACCTGTAATGTTGTCTTCTTTGAGTCTCTCCCATTTTACTCCACGTCTTCCGAGTCCTCTCTTAGTTTCTTGTCTCCGCTGTCCACCTTACCCTCCTTTGATGAAGATGATCATGAAGCAGGTGATGAACTCCCTCCCCCTGATGACCCCGATCTGCATGACTCCCCCGCGCCATCCTCTTCGAGCGCTTCCAGCGTGTCCAGCCCCAGCACGTCCAGCTCCACTCTCCCGCCACCCAGCTCGCCATCCTCCGCGAAAAACATGGGCTCCTCTAGCTCCTCGGCTGCAGCCTCCACTCCTCCTCCTGTTTTGCGTCGTTCATTGCGCGCAAATTTGGGTCAGTCACCGCTTCGTTTTAATGATTATCATGCTTACGGTGTTACTGCTGTTGTGGTGCCTACTCGTTTTAAACAGGCCCATGGTGACCCAAATTGGGACAACGCGATGAAGGTGGAGATGGATGCCCTTCATGCTCGTGGTACGTGGACTATGGTTGATCATCCTCCGCCCCCTGTTCCTGTTGTTGGTAGCCGGTGGGTGTATACCATTAAGGTCCATCTGGATGGCACCATTGAGAGGTATCGGGCGCGTGTGGTTGCTCAGGGCTACACTCAGGCACAGGGTGTTGATTATGATGAAACTTTCGCCCCGGTGGCGAAAATGACTACGGTGCGTACCCTTCTTGCTGTCGCTGCAGTTCGAGATTTGCCTTTGTATCAATTCGACGTGAAGAACGCATTTTTACATGGTGACCTCAAAGAAGTTGTTTACATGGAGCCTCCTCCCGGCTACACTCTCGGAGCTCCTGGCCAAGTCTGTTTACTGCATCGGTCGCTTTATGGGTTAAAGCAGGCTCCCCGTGCCTGGTTTGACAAGTTCCAGATCACGATTCTTCAGCTGGGGTTCTGTCAAAGTCTTAATGATCCATCTCTCTTCACCCGCGTGACCACTACTGGTATTACTGCTCTCCTCCTCTACGTTGATGATATGGTAATCACCGGTGATGACGTTGCAGGGATACAGTTGCTCAAAGATGGTATGCAGGCCGCGTTTGAGATGAAAGACTTGGGGACTCTTCATTATTTCCTTGGTCTTGAAGTATCGCGCAGTTCCCAGGGCATTCTTTTGACCCAGACGAAGTATATCACGGATCTTTTAGACGATCATCAGTTTGCTGACTGTACCCCTGTCCGCTCCCCGATGGAACTTAATCTGAAGCTTGGTCGTGGCTCGGGTGAACCCTTAGCTGACAGTTCGCAGTATAGGAGTCTCGTTGGCAGCTTGATCTATTTAGCTGCCACCAGACCGAATATATCTTATGCTGTCCAGGTGGTGAGCCAGTTTATGTCGCATCCTCGCACCCATCATCTCTTCGTTGTTCATAGGATCCTTCGGTATCTTCAGGGCACCAAGGAAGTTGGGTTATTCTTCTCCTCCCAGGGGTCCTTGGATCTGCAGGCGTTCTCTGACTCTGACTTTGCTGGGTGTATTGATACTCGGCGATCCACTTCGGGGTGGTGTGTTCGTTTTGGGCGGTCTTTTATTTCTTGGCGGTGTAAGAAACAAGATCGCGTGGCGAAGTCCTCTACTGAGGCCGAGTACCGGTCTATGTCTGAAGTTGCTTCTGAGGTGGTCTGGCTGGCTCGGCTACTTACTGAGTTGGGAGTTCGGTGTCCGCCTGCTGTTGATTTGTACGTTGACAACATCAGTGCTATCCAGATTGCTGTTAATCCAGTGCTACATGACCGGACTAAGCACATTGAGCTTCATATTCACTATGTTCGCGATCAGGTCCGTGATGGAGCTCTTCGGTTACACTACATCACTTCCGACGATTAGATTGCTGATATTCTCACCAAGTCTCTTCCCATTAGTCGTCACTGGTATCTGGCTGGCAAATTGATGCTTCGTGACCGGCATCAATTTGGGGGAGGATGTTAGACTGTTGGGTTTGGGGTCTCGGTTTGGTCTTGATTGGCCCACTTGTGTATCATGTATATGTTAGCTATAATGAGCCCATGCAAGCCCATGCAATCTCGTGTATTCAACAGACACTAGGGTTTGCTAGGGCTAGAGTAGTATATATACTCATGTGTAACCGAGTGTGAAAGTTAAGCTGAATAAGAGACTCCTCTTCCCGTGGACTTTGCCCCCTTCCTCGGCATTTA